TCTCTGTAATCGAGCCGATTTCCTCCTAAGGTTTTAGTATCGCCACAGGGATTACGAACATGTTAATTAAGGGCAAAAAAGCAATAAAGTCACCCCACTCACCAACCCTAGTCATTCCAAGAAGATATATGTCCCGTGCTGTAGGATAGATACATTGACTGAAATAAGTAGTTTGGAGTTCACCAGGTCAGAGGGCAATTTTGTGGCACAGTGCGATACTCTTCCGAGGCGAACTATTACCTGGTTAGTAATTACAAGGATAAAGAGTTGCCATCTTTAGGGTTTGCCAGCTGGCGATATGCAAATCCTGCTTTCCCACTTCTAACTCTCAGGTGATTCGCTGTAGCCGGAAGCTTTTTTACAGGTGTGTATAGTATTTAAGGTGTTTTTCTAAGTCATTCCAGTGGGAACGAGGTTGAAGCTTTCTTATTTAAGTAAATTTTTGTTTCATTTTAGATTGCTTTGAGTTCAATAGCATTCCGGCGTTTTACTTTTAAACCGATTTTGTTAACTTGGTAGAACGCAACTCCAAAAATCTAATTAATTTCACGGATTATCGAGAGGAGATAATACATAGATTTAGCCAAGCCTAAAAGCGGAGCTACGCAGTTATTTATTTGGATGTTGTTAATAATTAAAATAATCCAACATCTAAGGCGAATTTCGGTCGATTTTGTAGTTGCAGCCAAAAATTGCACCTCATCTACGTTGGATTACATTGTAATGCAAACGAGAAAAAAAAGCTAACCTTTAAATTAAAAGGCCTATTGGGTTTTTAGGATTAAATGCACTAAATGAATCGATGTGCGTGAAATTTTAGTATTGGCCTTGCATGAACTTTTCCTATATAGGATTGCTGATCAGCAGAGCTTTATGATAGTGTGATAATGAAAGTCAGTGTACGGGAACCAACAAGATTTTTTTTTAGGCGGTGACGTAAATCAATCGCCTTTAGCTGGTAAACACTCTCTTCGAAATCCGCTGTGCCAGTGCAAAGTCCAATGATTTATGTATTCCTGTGCTTACACTCAGATTGATCAGCGGATTCCCCCAATACCTCCGATAGGCGTCGAGAAGGCCTGGGAACTAGACGATTGTCCGCCATCTTGCTGTGGCAAGTTAGTTGAAGCATTGTCAAAATACGTCTGATTAGTGATTG